AAAACGGACCCCACGGCTGATGACATAAATCCTGCATTTCCCCATAACAAGGAATATATCACAATTCCCATAGTTTAGGGTCCTTCAGGTAATGCAGGATTTATATCATCAACAGTATTCTGGGGGGGGTCCATTAAATGATCATAGTATAATATACCCCCAAAACCTCCTGTTAGAAGCCTCTAAGACTCTAACACCCAGTAAGACCCTTCCTAAACCAGGGTTATATCATCAACAGTAGGACTTTCGACTTAGGATTGTAGGGCTTAGGATTTACGATAGTCGGGGTTTTGCCTTTAGGGCTCTTGGTGGTGGGGGTGTAGGGTTTGTAGGAGTAAAATTTATACCAGTTCAGAAAAACCCTAAACCCTCTTAGAACTACCCATAGACAGCCCCCTGACACCCCGGCCTTCCCTGTTGGAGGCGGGCCGGGAGGCAGCCCATGCGGAAGCAGGCGGAGTCAGTTGCAGGGATGCCGGTATACTGTTGATGATATAAATCCTGCAGTACCTTAGGGACCCTAAACTATGGGAATTGTGGTATATTCTTTATTATGGGTAATGCAGGATTTCTATCCTCAACCGTAGTTTAGGGTTTAGTTTAGGGTTGATAGCCGTTGTGGATGTAGGGTTATAGTTTAGGGTTCATAATGGGGTTTAAAAGGGGGCTTAGGGCTTGGTTTCGGGTTGGGGTTCAGCGTACAGGGTTTAGGGATACTTTAGCAATCGCAACTAGCGAAAGAATTGGTAGTTTATATTGGGACATGAAGCTCCTAACCCCTCTGTAATTTGGCGTGTATACAGTTTAGGGTTTTGGGGCATTAGGGTTTAGGGCAGTGTATGTGTAAAGTAGGAATAATACTGACCTGTGTTGTTTAAGGGATCCAGTTTAACCGTTGGGGTCCTTGTTCGGGGTCTCTGCAGCTTTTTATGAGCAAGATTTCCAGCAGCTCATAAGGGAGTCCGAACATATCCTATCCATAGAACTGGGTCACCAAAGGAAGCCACCACAACATAGACTTTAGATAAGCCCAGTCACACTTCTTCGGATAACATGCAAGTTGTTACTATAAGGGTTGTCTGAGGGTGTCGAACATTTCAAAGGTTTTGAGAGGGTTCAGGATGGATTGCGGAAACAGGGCTCACAACCGGCTCGTTTTGAATACTGGTGAGTGTCTATTTGCGGTGCTATGATGGGCTAACCTTAATAATATGAACGGTTTTGCCCACGAACTACGCAACTATCTAGACCCCAAAAATCAAAAAATCTGAAGTTTTTGGCTTGCGTATGTTCTCGCCCCTGGCACTCCTTCAACCTTAAACCCCAAAGGTTACTCCCCAAACCGAACCCCTGCACCCTAAACCCTAAACCCTACCCTAAACCCTAAAAACGAGAAAAAAAAACTAAACCGTACTCTAAACCCTAAACCCTAAAAAAAAAAACTAAACTAAACCGGACCCTAAACCCCGAAACCTGCCCTTCGCTGGTCAGGTAGAGACGCATGGAAGCCTGCAGCGCCCTCAGACGTGCATTCCGGCTCAAACACAGCTGTCACGACGGCTGATGATATAACACCCTTAGCACTAGCTTAAGGGCCCCCAAACCATGAAAATTATGGTATATTCCTTAGTATGGGCAATGCAGGATTTGTATCATGAGCCGTAACTTTCTTTGGAAGGTTTGATCCCTAAACCCTAAACCCTAAACCGTAACATTTGATACTGAAAGGGTTCCTATACGGGCTTTTTGTTTCAGGAGTCTGACTCTTTCGGCCTTTGGCTTTAGGTTTTTGGGTGATTCCCACCATCAAACCGGTGAGACGACGGCCCGCTAAACCCTAAACCCCAAACCCTAGATCCGTAACCCCCTAAACCCCTAAGCCCTAAACCCCTAAACCCGTAAACCCCTAAACCCCTAAACCCTAAACCCTCGCAGGCCTTGGTGACGAGCTTTGACCTGACCGCCAAGCTGCCAGGGGCTGAGCTTTTTCGATTTGAGGTCCTAGGCTTCTATTTCTATTCTGACTGGGCTCCTGTTCAGGGATGTACTTTTGCGATATCATAATAGGGATCTTTGGTAATTAACATGGTTTCCTTTATCATAGCAACTTAAGCGAAACTCCTTAGCAAGAACCCAGTTTAGGGCTGTAGCAGTAGAGTCTGTTATACTAGATTGTATTGAAGAAGGCTTGCTCACCTCTGCTACGGATACGGTGCTGCTGCTCATCGTCGCCGGCGTACTCCTACAACTGCAGAAGCCACAACCACTACCATTGCCACATCTGCTTCTACATCTACTTCTACAATTTCTATTGCTACTGCTACTGCTACTGCTACTACTGTTACTACTACTAATAATAATAATCATCATCATCATCATAATACGAGTAACAACAACAACAACAATAATAATAATAATAATAGCAGTAATAGCAGAAATAGCAAGAATAATAACAATAATATTCACAATAATAACAGCAGAAGTAAGAAGAAGATTGGCAGCGGATACTTTAGAGGAAACCCCATGCGGACCCCGATGCATCTCCCGGCCTCTTGTTTTTTTTGTGTTTCTTCTTCTTCTTCCGCCTAGGTCCGGCTGGCGGTGGGGAGCGCGAGGGCGTGAGGATTGATGCAGGAACCTGATCATCAGGAAACCCTGGTGACATAACCACACATTAGGATCCACAAACCTTAAACCCTAAACCCTGAACCCTAAGCCCCCTTTAAGTTAGATAGTTCGTTCTGGGTTTAGGGTTCAATTAGGGTTCGATGTTTAGGGTTTAGGGTTCCGGGATTACGTCTGGGTTTCGGTAGGGAAAAGGGCTTCGTGAGGAATGTAGCTTTGGGTTTGGGGCATTGGGTTTTGAAGCAGCTTTGAGGGCTGTAGTGACCAGGAGTCTTGTTGTTGTGCCCAAAAGACTCCTTCACCAGAAGCCACTAGTACGAATGACAATAAAAATGATAAGCATATAATACAGTACCAATTAGAGTCACAGTAGTGCTAATCACAATCTAAGAATAGTAACAATAAGCAACGAGTTCAAGCCCAAAGCCCTGAACCATCAGCAGCAACCCAGGCTTTCTTGCTTTCTCCGTTGTCGGCGATGTTTGGAGGCTTGCGGGGCACCCCCCCGCCACTCAGGGCGTAGCAGGGTCTGGGTGTGATTCAGGCTTCGCGCGCGGCTGTCGCGAGCACTCTCGTGTGGCTCCGACCCTTGGCGATACAAGCCATATGAGCCGCGATCGATCTTCAGGGGCCTGCGGGCTTGTAGCGACCCCGGCACCACAACTAATGCAACAGAGCCTCTCTTTTGAAGCAACCACACGTCCACCAACCTCCACCCTATCCGTGAGAACCTAAACACTAGACACCGACTATGGCAACAGTAGTACTGAGAGAAGAGTCACCATAGTAAAACCATGGTAACACCTTGAATTTATAGGCTTCGTGTTTGGGGCTCCGATTCAGGAACTATAGGGTTGCTTTGAAGGTTCATGGAAGCGGAACTCGAGGGCTCAAGGGCTCACGGATTTCTTCAAGGGTTTAGGGTTTAAGGTTGAAGGTTTGGGGTGTATAAAGTTTCATAACACCCTTACCTGGCTCCTGGCTGCAAAGTGGCAGAGCACACACCTCTTCTCGAAAAAACGGCTCCATATCTCGGAGCTGGGGACGCAAGGGACTGCAGAACAGTTAGCAGATACCATTTCCACCTTCTAACCATGCACCACCCCCTAGCCCCCAAATCATGACAAATTATACCTCAACCCCTAACTCACCAAAATACCCATAGTAAAACCAAAATGATGAAAACCATACTATGGAACCATGCCCAACCCCAAAGAAAATAGCATACTCAACCCCATAGACCAACACCCCCATAGAAAAAACCTGGTAGTAGCAATTTGAAGCCCCTAACCCTAGAAAATTAAAGGAAAAGTGATAGTGATTAGAAGTAATATATGTTGTTATGTATGGTTGACGCTTGATAGAAAAACTTCGCGAGCATTCGCGACTTTCATAAGGGTTAAACTACGTGCATGGAATAAAGCAAACAAAAGGAATGCATGTTTCGAACTGATATACTTTTAACGGCAATGAAAGGTTTGTTACATAAACTAGACGAAGAAGAATAAGAAAAGAAACCCCTGGTCAAGTTTTATACATCTTCATTGTTGTAATCCTAGTTTGTTTTGATGAACAGATACAAGCTGCTCCTAGTTTGTATTTATCAGTTTATGAGAAATTTAACATCAAATCGTTTCCAAAACATAACATCCACATCGCCTTTCGCTGGTTCTTCACTTCTAACATTAAGTTCTTTGCTTCTTGTAAGTGTTTAGTGTCTGCCACGGATGACTTTTTGATCAATACGGCGCTTAATTCGAAAATCATGGTTTCAATCTCTTTGTAATTTCTAAACCAAAGAAAAACAATTCACGACGAGTATTTATAATTAACCCGCATGATGGGACTTAAGGCATTGAAATTCTGCGTTGCTGTTATGATGTTGATTGCGTTGTGTCCGCGTCTTTCATATAACTGATTTAACAAAGGTGGGTCTTTTGAAACTGCATTACAGTCGGCAAAATCATCAACAATAACTAAGATTGAAAACAACTTCTTGTGGTCGTTCTTCTTCTGGTTTTCTATTACCTTGTGCTGTTGCTTTATCACTCTTTCTACTTCTTCGGGGGTGTATTCATCAAACAAGCAATATTCCGTTTCTAAATCCACCTTCAACTCGTCCTGAATGTATCTTTTGCCTGCTGCCGAAGTACTATCAGCTGAAATTGAAGGAGACCAAACGAAAGCGACAGCTTTCATATTGACAAAGGCAGTGTCAGATAAAAGTTATGTCGTTGTGGTAGAAAAAGCATTTCATAAGGAAACTAAAACAACAACCCATAAGGAAGGTAATACAGTAGTAAATCAGATAGAGGAGCGAAGTAGTTGGCGCCTAGGAACAGGTAGAGGGACTACTCCCGGTGACCAGAGGATTCTTAGAACAAATGGAGATCTTTCTGGCTCTGCCAGAAGCATTCTTACGCCGAGAAATGCGGATAGGGACAGCTTCAAGATTTGGATGTAAAAGTTGCACACAGTTCCTCTACCCAAAATTCGATGCGATCGGGGACGCAGATTGTTCAAGAAGAAGTTGAGACTCCGAACCCAAGCATTCACAGACTCGGAAACGTTGGTGCGCATGTGGCGGCAACGCTTCGCCTCGGCTGGCGCCCACGTGCGCTTGTGACAGTGGTGATTGCTTCTGTGGAAGACATCCACGACGAAGTATCGGATGCTGGTAAAGTGCTCCGAGTACTTCTTGTTTTTGATAAACTGTTCAAGGTGGCACGCGTCATCGTGGATGAGCAAGTCGGCTTCGACCTTGTCCATCCCCATCACTGCTCTGAGCAGCTTGGCTTTCTCGGCATTGTTCTCGTTCTGACAATGCTCTGTTGCCCCAAGTATGCGTCTGCTGCTCGGGTCTGCCGCGAACCGCCATCCTGCGGTCCGCTGGGTAGTACCAGCCGCCAGCCTGACGCAATCCTTGGCGCGACACGCGCAGGTTCGGTCGTGTTCGAGCAGAACTTTCTTCGTGCGCGGATGACCCTTGAGCTGAACCGTTCTGGGCGGATCCAGGTTGCAGAGTGGCCGATGGATACCAAAGTGGCTGTCGACGCTGATGGCGCGGACTGTGTCGTCAGGTTGGAAAAGCAAGGTGTCGTCGCTTGGCCACAGCAAAGCCTGCCAACGCACGAAGGAGGAGTTCCCGGAGTCGGCGTCCGCTCGGCAAAGCATCCTCCTCCTTGTGATACATTTGCAGCACTACTGCTTCTTGTCCCGGCGCAAGTCTGCCCCGTAGAAGGCGGAGACAGGTGAGCTCAAGGTATGACATCGTGAAGGCGGTCTTAGAAGTGACTAAGAACGCTCCCGACTTCTTCGGGTCCTCCCACGACATCGTGCTGATGATACTCTTGCTAGTCTTGCTAGTTGTGCAAGGCGTGCGCGGCCTCCTCGTCGGGATCGTCGTAGTTGTGCTTCTCCTCCGAGTGCGACTGCTCAGGCTGCTGGGGGGCAGACACCTTTCGTGTGAGCCGTCCTTTGCCGTTTGGGATATGAAGGTTCCCAGTCTTCGTGGCAGGTTCGTACAGTACAGGAAACAGGCAAAGCTTCGGGACATGGTATTGGCGCCCCAGTCTCTTCATCAGTCGAAGAAGAAGAACGCAGAACCCTTGCGGTCGAACGCAAAGTGAAATCCTGCACCCGCGAAGCAATGGCATTGTTGACTTCACCAAGGTAGGTCTCGGGCCGACATGCAAGCTGTAGTTGTTCCATTCCCTGCTGAAACGGGTTCTGTTCCCATTCGATATCCTCTTCGAAGGTGGGAGGGTGTTCATGGATGCCTTGCTTGTATTTGGCACAGTAGGCCTTGTCACGGTCGGTGAATAAGTCCACGTGCAAGTCTCCCTCATGGATGCAGTGGATGAGCCTAGGCAACCGCAAGTACATCCCACGTTTTCCAAAGATCATGACCACGCACCGCTTCAAAATCGCCATCGCATCCGCTCGCTTGTAGGAGTCGAAGAACTTCCTTGTAAGCTTGACGAACTCATCGGAAGTGATGCTGGTTTGTCGAATGTCCAATGGAGGTTCATCATCTTCAAGGAGGTTCGAGGACACCGCATGCCGTTTCGGACTAACTTGACATCGGTGCATCTACTGCAGCAGTTTTTGTCTTCCTCTGCTGTGAGCCACGGCTTGAGATCCGCAGCATCGATCTTATCCATGGATAGGTCGTCTAAAATCAACCCCTGCTGGATCAATCTGGCCGGTTTTGTGTCTGAAATTGTCGATTCCCTTTGCCCGCGTCCATGCCGGCTGAACGGCCTCCAACTCCAGGCGGGCAATGTGATAGCGACCCAAAGCCAGACTGAGCACGATGAGCAGAGGAGTCTTCCCCAATCCTGGCCGTCCAGGAGTCAATATACCAAAGCTTGTCAGCAGTGGACCTATCAATGGCACTAGGAACTCGCCCATGAGCGGCTTCAGGCTTCTGATCGAGAAAGGAAAGAAAGACAAGGGTGTTGCTCCCACTGTGCCCCTATAGTCTTCTTCTGAGCCATCCGGATCACTCTCCCTTCCAGGTACTGCTGATTTCCGAGCCATCTTTGGGCGTGAACTTGTTCACAAACTTGACCCCCTCAGGACGTTCATCTTCTTCAGCCGTCCAGGCTGCAGATGTACCACGCTTCACACCTTTCTCCTTTTGCTCCAGGGACCACCACACCACGTGATGACCCGGGAGTACAGGAGAGAATGGACGGCCTTTTCCATGTCCACGGCCCCTGTCGAAGCGCAGGAAAGAGCGGTTGCCCAGTGCACAGGCCCTTGGCATCCTTCCCATTGACTTTGGTCGGGAATTTCTGCGCAGAACATCCATGGTACCATCCTCGGGATGGAAGGACAATGGCCTGAGGGTACCCCCCCACAATTGACACTGAGCCAAGTATGCAAGTCGAACGCCGATGGTGGTTACGGTTGTGTGTGAGACATGGATATCGCAAGCGCACATGTGCTACTCAAGGCTGCGGTGAGGCAAAGGCAAGATAGTGCAAATCATGCCGCTCACGACATATCTAACCGGATACACAACATCACATCTGATCTGCGCTATGTTTCATAGCCTCTGGACGTTCAAGTCTGTCCTAGACTAGCGGTCATGACAGCCTAGGGCTTCATTAGCGATGTAAAGGTCCTGAGTCACGGAGAATGCCCCCGCCTGGTACTCGAGTGATGCGATGCGCTTCCTGAGAGAACGCTTGCTGGTAGACGCCGATGAGGACGATGAGCCCGATGAGGATCAAGGTGAACCGTTCTCCCCGTCCGAAGCATTGTCGTTGGCGTGGTCCTCCTTCTTGTTGTTGTCACCGCTGTTGTTGTCCACGCCTTGCCTGTTGTCCATGTCCATGCAGTCGGTGTTGTCGTTGCCGTCGTCGTCGCCCATGTGGTTCTTCTAGTCCGTGCCGCTGTGCTGCAGGTCTTGCTGGAGCCGGGGTCATTCTCCACCAACACGTGCTCGTTAGCCATATTGGTGTCGTGGCCGTCAACGTCCATATGCTCCGCATCTTCCGTTTTGGCGCCGTGCTCGTTCCCAATGGTCAGCGGCTCCTTGTCGGAAATGGCCTTGCTTGACGTCAAATGACTTTGGTGAGACATCTGTGAGAGCTAAAGGGTGGGCCAGACTGGATCTGGCACCCCGCTTTTGCTTGGGCATTTCCAACAACTGCATCAACTTTGCTTGCACGGCATCTGACCACTGATGCACGTTGGAACGGAGATTCTGCGGGCCCTGAGATCATAGCTCGCACCTCCGCCGTTGTGATTGGAAGTCGTGTTGGGTGACATGGCATTTGCCCTTGCATGAGGGCACTCTCACAATCGGGTGGATTGTCATGTGTATTCTGCACTCGCACTGGACCTGCTGGCGCTTCAGGTTCGAGTGCTAGCAATAGCTGACGTCCGTCCAACACTGCGTGGCCACTGACTCTGAAGCCCTGCATGGCTCTATTCAAGAAGCTATCGTCAACTAAAGGGCGATCGCCAACACACATACTTCGAGCATAATCCGCGGGACTAAGTCTGTCACTTAGGTTTCGTGTTCCACAGGGCGTCCAAGAGTCACGAAGCTGCAGCCAAGATACCTGCAGCGGGGTTTTTGGTCCAGGATAGGGTTTATGGCGTGAGATGCATAAGGTTGGATTAGGTTTCAGGCTGTGCCAAACCACTGTCTGCTCTGCTAGCGTGTTAAAATTGACAGCCGAAGGAAAGTAAACATAATAATCTTTCAATTTTGGGACCCCAACCAAGATTGCTCCCCAGGACTTTCTGAGCAATCTTGGTTCTTGTCCTGGGGTCTGAAAATTGAAAAATGATTGTTTTTTTCATTTTGCATCTCTCAAAGTTAATGCGCTAACAACACGGACTGTTGTTTCTCACGCCTGGAACCTTTATGCAATAAGCGAACGCTGTGGGAACCTGTCAAAAAAAAAAGGTTCCCACAGCGTCCTCTTCTCAAATGAAACACGAAAACTGGGATGCCAATTTTCAGTATGCGTTACATCCGAATTCGGAAACTAAATATGTTGATGAAAGATTATTTAAGGAAATTAGGTAACGTAAGGAAAGAAGGCAAACTAAACGAGACATTACAAGCATGTATTTAGGCGGTATACGAAAAGCAGAACAGGGAAATACGCAAACGATGAAACTAACAGTTGCATAAACAAAATTGATGAGGAGGAAACACCAAACCACAACCCGAACCCGAGAAACCTAAACCCGATATTGATAACGTGTTTAATCATTCAATTGCTAATGAATGGTGACTTCTGGAAGATCTTTTGATGCTATTCGGCAAGCATAAGGTCAAACTAACTATTCAAATTCCGGTTGATAAATCATAAGTAGAATGTAGTTATAATCCTTAAGATTTTATAGGTTGTACTCACATTATGGCAGTACCTCATACCTAAACCTTATTCCTATTATAGATATTTTAGTAGAATAGGCCATTCCCATTTTCTAGCGTTAGGGATTTTGGGTGGGGTATATGAGTTTTCTATGGGGGTATTGGTCTATGCGGTTGAGTATGTTAATATTCTATGGGGTGCACACGGTGCTATAGTATGGAATTCATCAAATTTGGGTTTTACTAGGGGTATTTTGGTGTGTTAGGGGTTGAGGCATAGGTTGTTATGGTTTGGGGGCTAGGGGGTGGTGCATGGTTAGAAAATGGAAATGGCATCTGATAACTGGCACTGGCAAGAGCTGCAGAGCGATCTCATGGATCTCTGTAAGTTTTGGCTGCAAATAGTCCTTCATACGTTGTTTGTCTTAAGTCTTTCGCGCTGGCATTCTTGGATTCTTTGACACGTCTTCGTCGGGGGCTGGGGGATTTACTTTTCGGGGGGAGGGTTCAGGGTTCCTTGGTGCTGGATGTGAGGAATTCGGATTTGCAGTCTGGACTGCTGGATTCCTGTGGTTCGGGCATCCGATGTTGATTCAATGTGGTTTTCGTGCTGAGCTACACGGAAAGGAGGAAGAACACGAAAGTGAGGAAGCACCGCAGAAAGACAAACAGATTGGGAGAGATGAGATTTGGATCAATCCTCTTGTCCCTAAAGTAAACCCATAAACAAATCGCGAAATCCTTGCCAGCGCTGAACCCCTTGACCACGAAACCCGAAATTTCCTTCTGTGCTGCGATTCATAACCCTAAACCCTAAACCCAAAACCCTAAACTGCAAACTCTGCACTCAGCCGAGCTTTTCTCAGAAAAGAGTTTTTACTGTAGCGACCTGAATAATAAGACGAGGGTTGCGCGGTGACTTTTTATAGTCTACCTTAAACCTACCAAAACCTACTTGTTTGTAGGTTCTTATTGTAAACCCTAATATGGAATTTAAAGGGACCCTACAAAAAGTTCGGTTTTGGTAGGTTAAGGTAGGTACAACAAGAAACCCATAGCAATAATATGGGTAAATATGCAAGCTTCTACACTGCCTAGGTTAGAAGCTGAGATAGCAGGATAACTGTAGTTTGATATACCCCGGTTCTGGGGCTCCTTATTAAATAAAAATTTATAGGGTAATATACCCCCAAACCCTATTCTAGCTATTAAGGCCCCTATATTCTCCTGCTTCCCTCCGTCCCCTTACTTGCTGCCCTTCTTTGGGGCTCAGATGACATCAGACCACGAGGGCCTTTCAGGTGGGTGCAGCATGGTGTCGAGGGATGTAGGGTTTAGAGTGTAGTTAGGGTTTAGGGTTTAGAGTGTAGTTAGGGTTTAGGGTTTAGAGTGTAGAGAGCTTTGGGGCTAAGGTTTCGGGCATGGAGATTTGAGAGACGTCGGGTTAGAGTTCATCGATCACGGGGGGGGGAGGGGGGGTTAGCTTTGGGCTGTTGGGTGTCTTTGTGAGCCGGGCTTTGCAGCTGACTACTTTGGCCCCAGATGCAGGTTAGGCGGTTTAGGGTCTAGTGCTGACTTGGATTCAGCTTGTAGTGGCTGTAGGGCTTTGGAGCTCTAAGTTGGTGTGTCTCTGCGGTTTAAGGCTAAGCGCCTATGCAAGGTCGTTGACCGTGAGCACAAGACAGACTCATCGGACTCCCGAAACGAAATTGAGTTTTGTTGCAGAATCGCGGCTTCCTTCGAACTTCGCTTATTGCTTCAATGGACCTGCTTTGGAAGTGACGAAAGACGTATGGCATAAGTGAGCAGCAGCAGCCAAAGTTCATGATCGTTAGAGATGTGGAAAGACACATCTACAAACAAGCATCTTGCTTTCATTCAACCCGGAACGGCCAGCAGTGACCTCAACTTATCAATGCTCCGCCTTCGAGATCAGTATCACCCTGATAGGTTCCTGACTTCGGATCAGGTTGGCTTCGGGTCTGCAAAGCCTGTAAACACGCGGTTGCAAGGTTATAATACATGCGTCACCTTTGCACGAGGAACCAGCCGGAGACAGATGCCGCGATTTGGGCGACGAAGGGCCAGGGCTTGTATGCCAACGACACGTACCAGAGGCTGCAGCTGAATCTGGTGCCATACGGCACCATGTCCACCCTGAAGGAAAAGCCCTTGCAGACCATGAGCAAGAGCAGCTGTGTCGTCCAAGGCCCAGGAGAGACCTTCTTCCAAGTCTCGGCACCGAAGCTGGACCTGGCTGCAATGTATCATGTTCAAACCCAAACCCTAAGGCCGAAAACGAAATCTCTAATGGACTCTGGCACCAAACCCTAACCCTGATCCTAAGCCGCAAACTTTATGGCAAGCTCCCCAGCCCTAAACCCTTAACCTCAAACCCTGAACCCTAAACCCGAAACCTTAAACCCTGAACCTTAAACCCTAAACCCCAACCCTTAAACCCCAACCCTCAAACCCCAACCCTCAAACCCTAAACCCTAAACCCTGAAAACCCTAAAAGTCTCCCTACAGTCCTGGGACGGAGGCGGAGGCGAAAAGCCGCCAGGCAGGGCTGGACCTGGGCTTGTGCTGTGCATCTGGCAGAGACGCCGTGGCGCCAGAAGAAAGCTTGGAAGGTTTAGGGTTTAGGGCCTAGGGTTTCGGGGTTAAGGGGTTTAGAGTTTTAGGGTTTAGGGGTTTAGAGTTTTAGGGTTTAGGGTTTAGGGGTTTAGGGGTTTAGCGGTTTAGGGGTTTAGGGGTTTAGGGGTTCAGGGTTTGTAGGGTGGAGGAGCAGCAGCCATTGCAGGAGCAGCAGCAGCAGTAGCAGCAGCAGAGAAGGGCCGTTCCCAGGGACACCGCCGTCAAATTAAGACCAACGGGCTCACGGGCCCACGGGTCCGCCCCGGGTCCGTGGACAGGCAAGTGTGTAATTGGCATACGTATGCATGCTCTTACATGCGTACGTGTGTACGTATGTAAGAATGCATGTACATGTACATGTGTATGTGTATGTATGTATGTATGTATGTATGCATGCAGGGAGGCAGGTAGGTAGGTAGGTAGGTATAGGTAGGCAGGCAGGCAGGCAGGCAGGCAGGCAGGCAGGCAGGTAGGTAGGTAGGTATGTACAGATGTACGTATGCACGAATCCGTTGCACATATGCATGTACTTGTTGTACGTATGTATGCATGTATGTACGTATGTATGCATTTATGTACGTATACTACGCTTTTACTTACGTATGTACGTACTTATGTATGTATATGTATCCTGTGCATGTGTTTCGTGGCGTACCTACGAACATGTGGCCTATTCTTTGCTATGTTATGCATGTACTTGCATGCGATCTATTCCTTGTATGGCTCTATTACCTTATGATAGGTTGTGTTTGACAGAGTTACGTTAGGTTGTGTGTGCCGATGTATGTATCTATCTATGTGCGTATCTATCGTCACATGTGCAAGCATATGAGGAGGGCCCTTCCCAGGGACACCGCAGTCAAATTAACCCCAGCAGCAGTAGTAGGAGTCCTCGTCGCTGTAGCAGTCATATCAGCAATGATATTCGCAGCACGAAAGCCAGGGGTAGAACGAGGAAGGGTTGTAGGAGCATTGGCATCGGTAAGTAGCAGTCGGACGAGTCAGGAGTCACAGCAGCAGCAGCGGCAGCAGCAGCTGCAAACGACGGTTCTAAGAAAGTAGGAAGGATAGATGCGGACCGAAACAGCAGGACAACGACAAAGAATTTAAGTATTAAGAGTAATTTAGAGGCCTAAAAAGCTAAATTAGAGTTTCGGGGACTTTCATACAGTCAGGGAGGATATTATTAATTCTTCAGAGGCGCCACCCCAAAAACACCGTAGGGTTCAGGGTTTAGGGTTTCAGGCTTAGGGCCACACACCCCTAACCTTGATTGAGGCGTTGGGGTTAAGGAGTTTCTCCTAGCGTTTGGGGATTTAGGGTCTGAGGGTTGGGGCCCTAAACCCTAAACTTTGAACCCTCAACACCCAAACCCTAAAACCTTATAAACCCCAACCCGTAAACCCCGAACCCTAAACTCTAAGCCTTCACATCACAACATCCGCACACACCCGTGTCTGGGCCCAAGGCAGCCTCCCAGGGAAGCGTCTTCGGAGTCGAAAGGGGCTCTCCACATCCTCACCTGAGCGAAACTCCCGATAAAATCTGGGAGGCAAATGCAAACTTCGGATTGTATGGTTTAGGGTTTAGGGTTTAGGGCTTATGGTTTAGGGGTTTAGGGTTTAGGGCTTATGGTTGCAGGATCCAGCCTGCGACGGGACGGTGAAACCCAGAGCCTAGGCGCCCCAATCCTGTCCCTCCGTGCAGCCAGCTCCCAAGGGCTCGCTCGGCGTTAAGTGATTCCGAGTCTTGGGCTTTGGGTGAAATGGTATTATGAATATTATTTTTATTATTATTATCATTATTATGATGATGGTTATTATGATTATTATTGTTATTATTATTATGATTATAATTATTAATTGGGCTTCAAAAGGAGATTCTGTGCCGGGCGACGAGCTCCGGCGCAGGTATGCCGCCAATGGCCCCCCCGGCATGGCCCGCCTGCATCCCCAAACCACAAAGAAGCCCCGAGCCATTTTAGGGTTTAGGGTTCTGGGTTTAGGGCTTTGGGGGTTTATAAGGTTTTAGGGTTTAGGGTTCAGGGTTGGACAGCTTTAGGGTTGGAGCTTGAGGTTTTTTATGGTTGCATGATGTCGGGATGCAGGATTGCTCCAAGTGGTGTTGCCTTTGAGGCCTGTGGTATGCGAGTTCATTCATTAAACACAAGGCCCTGCGAGAGACCACCAGCCTGGAGAACAACCGACACATCCTGGGGGTACAGCATGGAACAGTACAAAATACACTAGAATCGCGTGGTCAATGGTAGCCATGCTTCCCGCCTTTGGCGGGCCACATGTTTCGAAAGGTCTGCCGAATGCACTGTGTAACGGACCTGCCGTCCAATGTGCTCCATGCAGCACATTTAGACCAGCATTCGTAGGGATTCCTGAACTGAGTGAACACGTGATGACAGTCAAGACGACTACGACGACGGTGCCTAGTTTAACAAACACAAACACGACAATAAAAACACTACTATTGCCACTCCTACTACGACTACGACTACAACTGGCTGCGACTACGACTACGACTAGCTACGACTAGGACTGCGACTGCGACGACGACGACGACGACGCCTACCAAGCCGCTATTGCTACTACGATTCTGCCTCTGATACCGATGCTGCAACTGCTAATGCTGCTACTGCCACAACTTCCTCTCCGGCCGCTGCTGCTGCTGCTGCGACGACGACGACGACGACGACGATGAATGGTGAAACGAAGAACTTGTATTGCCGATGTTATCGGTGTGGACAACGATGGTGGTTGAAAGATCAAGCTAGCGGTGACGGTAATAATGACAACACTGACATTAACTACAGACATGACCACACTGCCGTTCCTCTGCTGCTGGTGCTTCTTCTGCTGCTGTTGCTGCCCCCTCTCTCTCTCTCCCCCTCTTTCTTTCGACAGGGCTATGGGTGAGGGAGATTCTCCCTCTCTCTCTCTCTCTCTCTCTCATTCCCTCTCTCTTAATTACGACTTTCCCTCTTGTTCGTCTCGCTAGGAAAGCTTCTGTTCGCAGTGAACTCATCTCCGCAACAGCATCCCTCTATCTTAGCAAGCCCCGTCTCGCAAGGCCTCCTCTCCGAGCACGGCCCGGAAGAAACAGCGCGTCCAACAGGGCGAGGTCACGTTCCGAAGCCCGCAGGCCTGAGAGGGCAAAGGCAGGTGTTGCCGGCATAGGGTTGAAGCCAAGAAGCCGCTCTCGGTTGGCGAAGAGTTTGCGCATTGCTTTCGAAGATCTGAAGCTCGAGTGAAAAACAGATGCCCGGTTTAACAATCAAGCTTGCAGACTCGGAGCTTATCTAGCGGGTGGCGGACGACGATGCATGGACCAAAGGAGTGATAAAATGTGATGCAATGCGCCAAACCGGAAGATGCTGAGCCACAAACCCAACAGAAAATCTTCTTCGATCTATGAGAGAGTCTTCCTCTTCTCGTAGCTGCCGTGGGCCAAGAAAAATTTTCAGTCCAATCAGGTAGGGATGTCTGTGCAAAAAGTTTATGCTTATGCCCTGTTTGCGCTCCTTGAACATGTAGTGCAATTATGATTACCCTGTAAAAACTCAACCCCGAAATCCTATCCCAACACCCAAAAGCAAGCCAGGCCCTGCACCGCTGAAGCCCCTGCTGGAGCTCTAAACCCAAACCAACGACTCTAGACCCTAGTTCTGTCTAAATTCCCTCCAGCCAAAAGCCGCTCGTGCTAATTATTGGGGAGAACTGAACTGACACCGGAGGAATTCCTGGGCACATCCTCTTAAGTCCAAAGCCCGGAACCCTGCATGTTTAGGGGTTCAATGAGGTTTAGGGTTTGTGAAGGCTTAGGGATTAATAGCGAGTGTGCCTTGAAACACGACGGCGTCACACGTTCCACTGAAGTGAAGAAGGACTCCTGTAGGAAGCATTTGCACACTTCTCTAAATTAGGATCCTTCGGGGGGTCCTTTTTGTAAGGGTTCCGTGCTGTTGTGAGGACCCAAAAAAGGACCCTAATTTTCAAAACTACCCATCCGGTGTTTTGTCTGTGGTTTGGGGTTGATACGTTATGTGCGCTGGGCTCGCTGCAGCGCCCGTCGCTAAACGCTGAGAGTTGGGCTGTCAGAGATTTCAACTTTCGAATTTCAAGTCTGTGGCTGTGTGCTTCGCAGGTCTTTTGCTCTGCATTTGCGCGGCTTCCGGTTTGCAGTCAGGCATGTCAGGCACAGTGGGACGTGCTCGGGCTTGCGGCACCGGGCGACGCGTGCGTGGGTGGGTGGGTGGGTGCACCAGGACACGTTGTGGAAACACAAAACCATGCGGGACATGTGTGTACTGACGATAATGACAATCCACGTGAACAGCCAAAAGCTTGAGGCTTAGCTTTAACTTTGGCAAACGCGTACCTCGCGAAACCAGCCCCTTTACTCCGTTTTACCTTCTTGGAGATCCTTGTGGCACGTCTTGTTCACAATCTTCTGGACGGAAGACACGTTCCAGGTGCAGTTCGTCCCCGTCTGCCGCGGGCAATATCCTCGGGCTTAGGGACCTAAACCGAAGATCTCCAACTCTTTAGATCAAGACATATGGGGGCTTCCGAAAATAGGGGACCCGAATATAGTACCCTAAATAGTAGGATCCTTATTATAAGGACCCCAAAATAAGGTACCCCCCTCATTCTCGGAAACTCCCATATTACAAGCATCTCTTTTGAGCTGGGGCCTGCCTTTCTGAGTTCCTTCTACCAGCAGCAGCTCTGCAGCACCCCAGGATGATTTGAGGCTTCAGGGCTTTGGTCGGATAGTGCGGGGATGCAGGCACTGCTTTTTTTTGGCCCTTTGAGGCCATTTTGGAAAAAAAACTTCCGTAAAATAAGGTTCACTTAGGCCCAATACAGGAAGATGTAAAATGCCCCAAAGGCCTGCCTAGATGGCGTCGGAGGTTTAGGCTGTGCGACTGAATAGGGTTGTGGGTTCAACTTACAAAATCGAGCTCGGTCTGACTATCACTGATAAATTGAAACCTCGAAAGTTTTCCTCGAGGTCTGAGCACGAAGAACCGGAAGGACTTTTCCGCCCGACCTTCTAGGATTTGCGGAAGCTTCGAGATGCGAAAACCTAAATACTGCATTTCTCTCGGTGGACTCTCCGAATCCTTCAAATGAAAAATCTCCACACCTTTTTTGTCGATACTTCGATACCTAAACCCTAAAGCCTCAGGTTGAAAAGGGCCATGGAAAAGGGCCATGTACAGCAAGCTTCGAACTCAAAGCCTGGAGCTTTCTGAAGGCGAACTCTCTACTTTCGGGGGCCTTAACAGTTCAAACAAGGTTTTGGTGTTTATGATACTATAATAGTACGAACAAACCCCAACATAGTATGGGTAATGCCTTAGGCCCCCATAGTACCCTCTCTAACACCCCTAAACCCAAAACCCTAAACCCTAAAACCCAAAACCCTAAACCCTAAGCCCAAAACCCTAAACCCAAAACCCTAAACCCAAAACCCCAAACCCTAAACCGTGGGAAACGTCTGTAGAATGCATTAACAACAGGACGCCCTTGCCGGGTCGAGGCTCCCGGCGCCAGCGTCGAATACCACCAACCCGGGTTTGAGGCCCTGAGATTAGGATTTAGGATTTAGGGTTTAGGGACATAGGGTTTAGGGTTTAGGGACATAGGGTTTAGAGTTTAGGGACATAGGGTTTAGGGTAATAGGGTTTAGGGTAATAGGGTTTTTTAGGGTTTAGGGTAATTGGGCTTAGGGTTTAGGGTAATAGGGTTTAGGGTAATAGGGTTTAGGGTTTAGGGTAGTAGGGTTTTTTAGGGTATTAGGGTTATAGGGTTTAGGGTAATAGGGTTTAGGGTTTATAGGGTAATAGGGTTTAGGGTAGTAGGGCTTAGGGTTTATGGTAATTTACGCATCATGGGGATTGAAAGAGTAGTCGTCGAAGGTTCTGAAAAGGGCTCCTGTGCGTGGACATTCAGCCACATGAAAGCCATAGCTTCTGGTGCGAACCGCAAAACAACTTGCCGGCAAAATCAACATCACCGCGTGCGTGTGCAGCGATGCTATGGCCATCATTACCAACACCAGCGTCACCACAATCATGGGCATCAAGGTACGCTTCGCCGTCATCATCACCAACCTGGTAGAGTCCTCATCACCGTCGTTATCGCCTCATCTGCCTAGTGAGGACCTGTAGGGCTTTGGAAGTAGTTGGGGTGTAGGGTTTAGGGTTTAGGGTTTAGGGAAGTAGTTGGGGTGTAGGGTTTTGGGTGCCAGGTTCTAGTTACTTCCGACTTTGGACGAACTGTTTTCACGTCTTCTGAGACAGATTCTGGTTACAGGATGCCGCGCCTGGGGTCTTGAGTCTCTTGCTTGCTGAGGTCTCTCGGCGATGTGCATCGATGTTGGCTTCAGGCCTTCTCGGGAATTTCGGTATCATTTTATCGGACCTGGCTACACAACTTCGGGCCTACACAACTTCGCCCTGGGACTCGAAGATAGGGATCTGTATTCAATATGAGTAGTGTTCAGATACCCCTACTAGTCTTTATAACCTAACCCCCCAAAGCCCTGTCAAATATGTCAGGCCCCTACCAGTGTATAACTTTCGCTCGAGTCGCGGAAGCTTTGCATTGAGCTTCGTTTGCCAGCAAACCCATTCTGGCGCAGACTTGTTGCACCAACTGTGGGGCCTCAGCCAAGACAAGACCCGGACACACCAACTCAACCCGAAAAGCCTGGCTTCATAGATTGCTGGTTTATGGTTTAGGAACTAGCGATGTATATAGACCGATAACTATCCGATAACTAATCGTAAGACCCATCAATCAGAGGACAGTGAGAGCCCAAAACGGATGAAAGATACTGCAGTTACTGCAGCCAGGACCTAGGCAGTTGCGGGCAGAGTTGCACATAGTCCATGCCCTTCTTCACCTGGAAGCACAGCAGTGCAGTCGTCTTTGTAGTACTCGCAAAAATATGTGGTAGCAGTAAAGGTAGCCGTCGTCGTCGTAGTGGTAGTAGTAATCGTCGTCGGGTTCGTCGTTCCCCTCGTAGTGGTGATCACAAATGCTTTTTTGTAAATCTAGCCTGCACCCTGAACCCGTACTCCGAGCACTAAACTCGTAAAACTCGTAATCCTCATCGCCAGACACTTGAGATCCCAGATCGTCTCGAGCCATGTTCAACATCAACCTCTTACTCCTGGCTCAAAAGCCAGGTACATCACATATAGCACGTCGTAATTGTAGTAAGTAACATATGATGTGTATCATCTGATGTGCATTATAAACACAGTGCTTACTAGCATATGTACATGTATGTGTGTGTATATATATATACATTTCTGCATTTTTGCATAAACATACATACATACATACATACATACATACATACATATATACATATATATATATACATACATGCATGCATGCATGCATGCATGCATACATACATACATGTGTATATATTTTTATGTGAGTATATATATATGTGAAAAACATACATACATAAATACATACATACATCCATGCATGCATGCATGCATATATGTATGTTTGTTTGTTTGTTTGTATGACTGTACACGTGTATACGTATGTATGTATGTATGTATGTATGCATGCATGAATTCATGTATGTCTGTATGTTTGTTTGTATGACTGCATACGTGTATACGCATGTATACACATTTATTGTATGCATAGGCACACATGTGTAGATAGACGTACACACACACACACACATATATATATATATATACATATACATATATATGTATGTATATATATATACACACATACATATATATATAATATATACATGTATGTATGTATATTCACACACAGACATCACGTAAGACGCGCTGCTCAACGCTTTTACAGAGGAGCCCCGGCCTGGAGTCGGCCCACTGTACCGTTGCACGGCTCCGTCTGACGAGCGTACCTCACAGCGGCGTTGGGTTTAGGGTTTAGGGTTTAGGGCGTTGGGCATAGTTTTGGGGGCATTAAAGCCTGGAATAGGGTTCCTTTGAATAGATGGGGCGATGATAGAAGTTCCCTTAGGGTTTGGTGTAGGGCCCCTACTAAATTCAATAGGGTTGTTGCTGTTTCTTGGAGGGGGCTTGAAGTATAACATTAAAAGAGAATTTGAAGGGATTATATTGGCAATTATTTTTTTTAGACTTCTTTTCTTATGCCCAACGCTGGTTAGCGACAGAGAATTTCGGGTTGCGGGTTTCGCTCTTCGAAGCGAGGGGTGCCTTTGAGGTGATTCCCTGCCCTAGTTCATAAAACCAACAATCAAAGGATGCGAGCCGCCCTGCATTCCGAAAACTGAGAATTTCGCGCTCCCCAATTCTTGCTGGAGCGGTTTCTCCGCCGACACAAGAATCTATTCGCAGGGTGTCTGAAATCCTGCCATATGTAAACATGGACCCTGCTAATCTTACGCACCTTCAATGCTTGACAGGGGCGGTCTGCCACAGAAGCAGCAGTACTTGCCGGCTGGGCATGGATTTCCAAAGGGGTCGACGTCCCCCGAGATGCCTGCGGCATCAAATCGCGGTAGTATGATGGTGGCGGCAGCCCTGAGAAAGCTTTGGGAAGGGGAACGTCTGGGCACGGTTCAACTCATAATTTCTAGCAAAATTACACACTCGCCCGTTGCAGTTGCGATAGCAGTAGCGACAGCAGTGGTAGCAGCAGCGGTGCAGTAGCAGTAGCAGAAGCTGCAGGAGCAGGAGCAGGAGCCGGAGCGGAGCACCAGTAGTGCTGGTGCTCCTGGTGCTAGCACTAGTGCTAGCAGTCGTCGTCGTCGTCGGCATGATCATCGTAATAGTCGGCACATGCACCTCTACAAGTACTGGTACGGGAATTGGAAGCGGCACGTGAAGAAAATGAGTAGGCTGAATAAACAGCGCGATGCTCCTTCCAACTTCAAACCAACTTTGTGTCTTCGATTCACTCCATCACCTTGTTTCGCCAAGTTTCGTTGAAGCCAGAAGATCCCAAACCGCAGACACACAAACTCACAAACCCACAACAGCTCAAGAAGCCTTGACACGTTGAATCCTCGCCCCTGAGCCCAAGCAACAAGGCACCAGGTGTATGATGCAATGCTGCCTTGAATGTTGCATTCATTTGTCAAACTTCAAAGGCTCCCAAGCAGAAACCCCTAAGGAGTAGCGGCGCGCACACACCCCTCAACCTCAAAATCTCCGCAACTCGATAAAGTTACACGACATTCGGAAGCCAAGGTGCCAAGGTTGCACTCAGCGTAGTCGGCCCAGGAATCCTCCTCACAATATCCAAGGGCAAAGCAGCTTTTCACTTCTAGTTCCAGTTGGAACTTTGAGGTACGGATGTGGGTCAAAGGTTGCAGATTGGGTTTAGGGGTGATGGATTTGGCAGCTGGGTTGGCCTCGGGATTCAACAAGCCTATCTGGGCTTTGGGGTTAAGAGCCCTGAACCTCAACATTCATACCCCCGACAGCTTGGTCTGAACAGGCGTTCAACTCAGTTGGCTCTCTAAAGCCTCTGAGAAACTCGTCATAAGAGTCTTTGACGCCCAACAAGGTGTAATACCCAACATCATAACAAAAGCCGAGTGAAAGGCCCGAATCAAGCAATGCACACCAGGACCCGGAGTCCTGAACGCTCAGGCGCAACTGGTTCACCACCAGGTTGGGAGAGTTCGTCTCCTGAAACTCTTGAAAAAAAGGTTCCTTTCAGGCTTGCTGCCAACGTTTCTATACGGGTTGCCGTAAGGAATCCTGATTCGGGGCTGACGTTGCCAGGGGCTTTAGGCGGTCAAGTTCAGGACTGTTGGGTGACTCGGTGGCAGCTGCCGTAACCTGTAAACTTGCATCAAGTAGGGCGCAGCTTGGCCAGAAACCCCAAAGTAGCCATAGAAATCGACACTAGACCTGTCAGTCGGTGCGAAAGCTGTTGTCCTCCACTCCAGGGAATCTAAGATACTCGTAGTGTGGCTTTTTACAAGATCCTCCAACGACCTTTCCTCCCCGTTCTGAGGTTTAAGGGTATAGACCTTCGGGTCGTGAGCTGGGGCTTCAAGACTGAAACTTCAGTCATAGGAACAGTCGCCCAGGGAATATTTGAGGTTCAAGGTTTGAGTGCTTCTGATAATCCGGTGAGAGCTATTCCACACACACCGGGCGAGTTTCGAGTCGAATGCAAGGTCGATTTTGGATCGAGGGCTTAAGCGTTTAGGGTTTTAGGGTGGAGGGTTTTGGGTTTACGGCTTTGGGTGTAGAGCTTAAGAGGCTCATTGCCATGCAAAGGGCCGCTGTACCTTTTCTGCGGCTTCATCGTTGCAGAGAATGGGGCAACTTGCCATTCCATTTCACACAGAAGTCCACGAGCCCTCCCCCCCCCCCCGCCCCTCGAAACGCAATCATGGTCAGAATCAGCACAGTCCTCGTGATCGTGGCGATTATCATCGTCGTCATCAAGGACTAAAGCCTAAACAAGACCCGAAACCCCCAAACCCCCAAACCCCTGCACCCCTAAACCCCCAGAGCCCCTGCGCCGTGCCCGTGCACCCCTAAACCCTTAAGCCCCCAGACTCATAAGCCTTAAGCCCCTAAACGAGCCGTGAGTTCCTTGTTCTGACAGTCTGGTGCAAAGAGGGACACCGGCTCCGCACACGCGAACGGGCGCATGAGCCTCGAAAACCATGGGACGCTCTCATAATCGAGCCGAAATGAGAGGACCCTAAGATGCACCCTGAATCGTGGGCTCAGAAGAGACTCGCAAAATACTGGAACCCTGGCTTCGACTATGAAGGACAGGATCCTTGGTACAAGGACCCCTGAGTCAGGTACCCCTAACTTTCAAGGAGGTTAAAAGGGCTGACGCTTGAGGGCGCGCTTTAGCCCGGACAGGTTTTGAACACAACAGTCCCCGACAAGACAACAACACCTACCCGGCGGGATAAAAGAGGCAGCCACGCAAAACAGCACTTGCACAGCTCCGGCTGTTGGAACAGCTGTGCAATCAACATGGTCAGATACAACAGCTCAACACCCAATGCTCACGCTTCGACATTGATACTGCTTATTTCCAACCCCTAGACTATACCGACCTTAACTTAAAAAGCACACCGTTGACCTAAAGCACGAAACCGGAAGCCCAATTGACCTGAATTCCGGGACCGGATTTGGATTTGGAGCTTTGAGGCAAGGGCTGGCACCGCTCAGCGCTGAACGTCACCCAATACCACATGGACCCTGACATCCTAATATAGGGGCCTGAATCCTTAGAACAGGATTATGGGGTATATTCTACAAACATATTATCATAAGGAACCCATAATAGTATTAGCAATTATTTAGGACCCTATATTGACCCTTGACCTTCGCCAGCGATCCCCTTAAGCCAGAAATCCAAAGCCGTGCAGACACCGTCAAATATCGAGGTTTAGGGTTTAGGGATCCATGTGATGTTACAGAACCCCCCTTCCAGAACCCTACCAAGATAAAGCTTAATGTCAAGCACGCATTTTATCCTTCGCCCTCTGTCTCTCTCTGTCTTTCCCTCGCTCTGATTTTGCATACCCTTCAAGGTCGCCATGTTCAAGGTAACCGGTCGACAATCAGAGCTTACGCCCTATGCAGTGACCCCTACAACCCGGACCCTCAACCCATAAACTTCACGCTTGGGGTGTAGACTATAGGGATCCACATCCTGAACCCAAACCCCGGAGTCCTACGGCTCGGAACTCCGAAGTCTACGCCAGACACTGAAAGCTTGATGGCGACCCGTCTTACAGGGTTCAGGGCTTAGGGCGTATAGAGCTTCAGATTTTGGGGTTTAGGGTTTGCGGTCTTCGATTGTTGTCCGCATCCTGCATCACGATACGCATTTTAAGCATGGCCGGCCAAGAAGCACGAAGCGAAAGTCAAAAAAGATGTCCTTTGCTGTAGCTTCAGCCCAAGGGGTGCTAGCTGCTCTGGATATATATATATATATACATATATATACACATATATATATACATACATACATACATACAAACATACATACATACATACATACATACATGGGTGTTGATCTAAATTGCTTCATCCCGGAATGTCCTTCTTC